ACACCCCAAAACCCCAAAACCCCAAAACCCCAAAACCCCAAAACCCCAAAACCCCTAGCTCTAGATTTAAGATTGAAGGGAAATTTATTGATCATCTTCTTCAGATTCATCAAAATCGTTAAAATCATAAGCTTCATCATCTTCCTCAATTCTGGGATTGGACTTGGCATCTTCCATTCTTTTGTTAACTTTGGCATACATTTCTTCTATCTTTCTTTCCTTAGAGTCATCTAGGTTGCGAGATCTCTTCTCAATGGTCTGATTTGCACTAGATCTATCTATATCTTCCTGCTTTTGAGAAGTCATAGGAGATCTTAGCCTGTTAAAAGATAGGTTTTCAACATTATTACTCTTTCTGTAGAAGTCTAGCCCACTGTTTACTGCACTATTGATTTCAGATTGGTAAGGCTTTGCTGATTGATGCACTCTTTGATGTGTATCAAGATCTTCCTGAACCTTATTTAGCTTCAACTGGTCAATCATTCTTTCTCTCATTGAAATTTCTGTCCTTTTATGCTCTAATTTGAGATGCTCTGCTCTTGCATGAGCTTTTTCAGCCTCAAGTTCATATCTCATTTTCTCGAGTTCAGCACGGTCTTCTTCATATTCCTTTCTATGGGCAGCAACATACTCTGATTCTTCAAAAACTTTTATACTAGTTTGTTGAGCCATATAAGCTTTATCTCCGAATTTTACTCGCTCAGAATCAAGTTGTTCCATTTTATACCTAAGGGCGTCAGTTTCCCTCGCTACTACTTCATTCTTATGATCAAGTGTTTGGACTTTCTTCAGTAAGTAAGTTTCGCTCTCATTAAGAGTCTTCTTTCTTTCATCAATTTCGAGATATTTCAACTGAATCTTCTTGTCATATTCTCTCTGTTGTTCATCGGCATCTCACTTTTCACGTTCAAATCTTTCTTTTTCGTCTTCAAGCTCTTGCTGCTTTCTAAGGACCTCATCTTGAAGTAACTTCTCTAGTCTAGCCTGCTTCTCCTTCTGATTTTCCACTTTTAACTTGAGAAGAGTGACTTCTTGGATAAGCTTGTTCTCGTTTATCTTGTATCTCTCAGCTTGATCGGAAAATTGGAATGTATCCCGCTCTTGGAGTCTTAATTTTTCAGCTCTGAGAGTCTCGTAGTCTTTCATGACACCATCTAGCTTCTTTTCAAGGTCATTGTAAGTCCTTTGCTTGATGACCAACGCTGTGAGCTTTTCATTAACTTCTCTTTCAAGTTCAAGAGTCTTCTTTTGTCTGTCACGAAGACTATCTTCAGATATATCCATGTTGGTCTTCATGATAGACTCAAGCTTGGTTGAGGAGCTCTGCACGTTTTTGACTAACTCAGCTATTTGGATCTGCTGCTCAAGCTGTCTTTTAATTAAAGCAGCATTTTGGTCAGCAGAAATCTTCTCTCTTTCGAGATTCGATCGGTGTTGTTGGTCTTCAAGCTCCATAGTTGCTTCATGTTGCTTCTGAATTCTCTCAATTTCTCTATCTAATTTCTGTGTAAGGCTCTTAAGCAACTCTTTTCTCTCAGAATCTGTATTCTTGGGAGGCTGCATTTTGTCCATATCAGAGGAATGTTTACCCTTCATTGACTTTATTTGGGCTCTGTACTCTTGTTCAAGCTCCTTTCTTCTCTGTTCTTCTTCACGAATCTCTTCTCTTATTTTCATAATTTGGTCCGTATTTGAACTTTGGACAGGACTAATGGAGCCAAATTTTTTGTTTTTCTGTTCCCAGTCATTGGCTTTTTGAGGAGTTCCTCCAAAACTGTTAGAATCTTTGTATAAATGGTTGCCAAAAGGCTTATCCTTGTTGTCTAAATGGCTCTAAATCTATTATTCTTTGATACTTACAGCATTTCTTGTAAGCTGATCTTTCTCTTTTGATTTAGAGTTAGAATTTCTAGCTGCAACTCTTCTTCCTGATCTTCTTGACAAGCTTGACTCAAGAGCTGGAACACCACTTTGATCATTTTTGAATGAGTTATCTTGGCCAAATTTTCTTCGACTTGTAGCATCGGAGGCATCATCTTCTCTAAACCTTCCTGAGCGAGGACCTGCATCTTTGACATGGGACAATTTGTCATCATCTTCCATGTAACTTGCATGCTTGTGTAAAGGAGGTTTTGACCTTTCGTTCGGGTTTGTCTTCTTAGCCAAGAAAATTGGAACATCGTCCTTGTTTTTCTTTACAGGCCTTGAATCTGAACCTCTCATTCTTCTACTAGCAGAAGACTCAATTACATCAACGCCGCTTGGAGAATTATCGTTTCTGTAGACAGACTGTCTTCTACCAGGTCTTGAAGAGCTTCCATGATTATCTGAAGGCCCTGCTTTATTCCATGATTGTCCTGTAAATCTGAATCCTTGAGGTTGCATTGACCTCAGATCTTCATCTCTAGAACTTGCTTGAGATCTTTCAAAATCAGGGATTGATCTAGCTTCAACGCTAATGTGTCTTCCACTTCTATTATCGCTATAATCATTGCCTCTTCTTGAATAATTATCATCAACCCTGGAAGGTCCTTTAAACCTTCCTGTTTCTTCTGGCTTTTCATAAGTGTCTCCTTTAATCGAGTCGAGTATGTCCTCATAAGGTTCATTATAATGCCCTCCAGCACCAGAATATTTATCAAAACTAGCAGTGTCGTCATCCATTCTTCCTGGCTGTCGGCTAGGAACATAACTATCAATAAAGTTATTAGCCCTCTGGAAGTTATCTTTTTGACGGTCAATTCCGAAATAAGGATCATTATCCTGCCCAAAATTTCCCAAACTATCTCTCCCGGGTTGACTAGGGGATCCAAATCCCGCACTATCACCTCCAGGATACATCCTGAGCACATCAGCTCCTTCATTATCCCCAAACCTCGTGACTGCAGGGTTATTTGCTCTACTAAACGCACCTGATCCTTGACTACTCCCATACATATTCTGACTAAGTTCTTCTAATGCGTCCATTTTAATTTAAATTTTTAAAGCTTGCTTAACCCAAAGGGGTTTTGGGGTTTTGGGGTTTTGGGGTTTTGGGG